CTCCTTTGTGCTGCAAAACTGTCCATTTCCTGCTAAATCTGATTTGAGGCCTTGCCAATATAAAATGCAGACTAAAGGCTATTGCAGGCTGCAGGTCTTCTTGGTGATGGTAGTTTTTGTTAACAGATATTCTGTCTCAAAATTAATGTGGTAATGATTTATTTATTTTATCATACTGCATGTAGTATAAGTAAGTACAAGGTGTGTATATATATATCCTATTCTATATCCAAACTACAGTGTACTTTATCATAATTGGCAAATGTAAAACAACAACAGCACATGATCTACTTCCTTGTAACCTACACGTATCCAGGGACAAATGACTGTGATGCAAGTGGAATTGTTATTGGCATTGTGTTGTTGTCTTGCCTGCATAGTTTTTTGTCACCTGGAGGATTGAAAAAGTCCACTAGGCAGGCAAGGTTGAATCATCCAGCTGGCATTATCCTCCTTGCGAATGTTATGGCAATGTAGACATTCGTAACTAAACATGCTGACACTTGAGGAGGTTACTTTAATGTTGATGTTAAGATCATGGCAGCAAGTGGCAGCGGTGCAAAGCTCTATTATTTTCTCTTTAAAGCTTTCTGCCACTGTTGTTAACTTACTTCACAATCAGACCAATGATACAATCGAATCACAGTACAGAAACAAGAAAAATCTTAGAGAAATATAATATAAATATACAATTAATATATAATTGTCCATACATTTTTTACCATAGGGAAATCATTTGGAAAAATCTTGATTAACACACTGTGCTGCTTTTGAATATGTGGGAGTTTGATGGAGCCCAAATCAAAAATTAATATATTCAAGAGTGTGTACCAATTACTTTTTATGATTATCCCTGACCTGTAGGTGAGTGTGACGGATGAGAATTGTTTTCTCATGTCTCGCCATAAATGCAGTTGTACAGTATGTATGTGTGTGTGCTCTAATCTGACGGTTGCAGCATGATCCTCTGCTATGTTTTATTCATCTGAGAGTCACCAGCTAATGGAAAAAGGGTGTCCACAGGCCTGCATCTGTGTGTGTGTGTCTTACTGCTAGTTCTCTGACCCTGTTAGTTGGATAAGCCATTTGGATGGCAGCTCCATTGGCGCAAGCAGCGGAGGAGTGTAAGAAACCCGTAGGAGGAGGAGGGTAGTTGGACTTTAATGTGTATAGACTCAGTGGAGTGATTTGAATGGTGTGTATTCCAGGCATACTGTCTGTGTGTGTATGGTGCACATAGTTCTTCATACTGAACTGCTGCTGTCCCATGAATTAATGATTTAGAGGCATGTCCAAAATGGCTGCAGAAAGACAGAGAAGCTACATTGACAGACTATAGACTACCCCTCTATTGTACCTTTTGCGACCATTACCATTTAGGAAAGTTGTCACTACTGTGAAAAAGAACAGCTGCATCTAAGTTGTATTACACTTTTTAATAAGGTATAACAATTATAATTGCAGACTTTTTTCTTATTGTAATTGAAAACATATTGATGTACTGAAATGTATAACTTTAGACTTGTGTTATAGTGTTAGTGATATCATTATTAGCATGGCATGAGTTTATCAATTATAATCTATATCTGCAGTTGTAAATGTTAAAAAAACTTAAAATCAGGTTTTCAGTGAGCACAGAAACTTTCCACTTTTAGCAGATGAATGTGAAAACATCTTTCTAATGTCAAACTCTTTACACACATTATTCTGCACAGTGAAGCTCAAACATAAAACTGTGGGAACAAGAAGAAAAAACGATTTCTAACAAAGTTGATATTGGTTCCAAGTGTCCTGCAATCCCTTTCCAGAAGTTAAATGGCTGAATGGTTCATTGGAGGTTACGTCTGATGAATTAAAGTGCTAAAAAGGTAAAAACACAACGCAAGGTCTGGATATACCCCAACCAAGTAATTCCATTAATGGCTTATAGGTGATCTATAAAACATTCATGATTAATAAAGATTAATGAAGTATAACTTACAAGTTAGATTAAACCATTCACAATGTATTTCTTGTTAGAAAGTGGTACCAGTTTTACTTTGCAAATTATAATTTTCACACATTACTAATTTGTTATATGGCTTTTTCCCTTGAGGGCCTGACTTCATCCCTGGGATCACAACAGGACTCACAAACAGATATCACTCTGATAAACACTTCCTATTAAGAGGTGAATTTGCATAATTGCATTAATTTGCCCAAGGACATTCATGTAGGAAGACAGAGTCCTATCAGTAAAATTAAATTTTATCCAGGATATCCCCAACAAATTTTATTTTCTCTTTATAATGCTTAACCAAACGCCTTTTAAAATCTTCCCGTGTGTTCTTTGAGTGTGTGCTGTGTGAGCGTTTTTCGTGTATGAATGACTCTGCGTGAGCCTCTATCAGCAGAGATGGAGATAGCCAGCAACATTTACCCTTTGATCTCCAAAGCTGTGCTTGCTGAGTGCTTACTTCACAAATACAAACCAGAAGGAGATTTTTTTTAATTATTTCTCAGCTTCAGCATTCCAATCCTGCACCTCATCCACTTCCTCACCCATCCGTCCCCTCACCTCACCCCTCCCTATTCTCTGTCGCTCAGCAACCATCCGTAATTAATGAGCTTTTACAGTTCGATCTGATCTGCCTCAGGATTGGACACGTCTGATAAGCCGAATGGAATATACACACAGGCCTTCCCCTTTCTGCTCAGTGCTGCCTGGAAATATAATTACTTGAGAATGAATACACACACTCATACACACACACTTAAACACACACAGACTGAGTAAGCCCAGGTTAATACCAATCTTTTTCCTCTTCTCTGCACTAATTAGAAATGTACTGACGAGCGTCATTTGTTTGGAAGTTGAATGCACTGTGCACTTGTTGTCGTTATTCAGAGACTCTGAAACTTAGATAATTAAATCTATTTAATGATACGCTTTAGTGAGCGTATGTGTGTATGTTAATGACATGCTCTGATGCTCTTAATGAGCATGTGACAGTGGCAGGGAGATGGAACAGCATTCTGCATCGTTCAGCCAGTCATTACTTAAGCATAATCTATCTCCTCTCTGCCAAATGACAGTTAACACACTCGCTTATCAATCTGCCCCTATGGCCACACTCGACAGCTGTCAATAAACTGTGGCCGCTTCCAACATCTTCATCACCAGGAAGTAGAGGCAAACCGTATTCATGACTAAACTAATTCCCTACATGTAGTGATGTTCCAATACCCATGTGAATCCTTGCTTATAGATTTGTGGGAAGCCCCATACAGTGAAGAAAGATGCAGGTGAGCACGACACAGTGGGGATGTGAGGGCATAAGAACATCCTATACAGGCACTCATTCTGTGTGGAGTGAAGCAGCACTGTCAGGTTTATTGCTGTGGTCATAGCAACAGCCATGAGTGGAGATGGAGATTTTTTTTTTTTCTTAGTGGTGATGCACTGAATGTCCTTGTTCAGATGAGAGAGAACGAGAGCGAGGGATAAAAATGCAGTCAGAGTGAGGGATGGAGAGAGAAGGGAGGGGTGGAGAGGGCTGGAAGGAAATTTTAGAGAAGACTGAGCGGAGGTTTTCTTTCATATCCTTTTAGCTGTTTGTTCTACAAGCCAGCAGAGTTCTGTGACAGATACTTTATGAGTTTGTCATTTTCTTCTTCCTGCCCCCCTGAACAGTAGCTTTCTCCACAGCTGGTATTACACATGCAGTCACTATGTTAGATAAATGCAACAATAGAGGTGTTGACATTTGAGATTTTACTATTAATTTGTTAATAAACAATCTTAACATTGTGAACATGCTACTCACCAGACTTTCTGTTAATGATTTTCCAACACCTCTCCAGTCTAACCCTGTCTGATACACTTACTGCAGTCACTTAATTCCTTGGTTGCTCTTTCCCCCAATGGGTGATTCTCCACTTGACTTCCCTTCCCACTGTTTATGTGTTCATCTCTTCCCTCTCCTCTGTGCGGGTGTCTGTATGTGTAGTCTGTCTGTGGCTAATCTGTGTGTTAAGGAGGGCTGAATAAGCCTGTCTTTGTCAGGGCATTAGGTTTGGAGAGGATGAATACATTAAATGATAAATGGTGGCGGTGAAGGTGGCAGCGTGTGGATTTGGATTCATCTGAATGCCACCGCCCCTCTTCCATTTCTGTCTCCCCCGCTGTCATAAGTGTGCATTTATGCGTTCTGTTTGCCACTTTGCACGTTAAAGGGTCAGTTCACTGAAATGACTAAAAATGTTTTGTCATTTACTGTGTGTGGTATCTAGTCATGCAGATACTTTTAGTCTGATGTCCTGAGGTTTTACTGCGAACAGTCTCATGGGGACTGCTTTCTGCTAAATGAAAACTCTTTTTAGCTAAATTTATGTATACTTTTTCACTACTTTAAGACACAGTTGGAACAGTAGAGAGCAAATATATGCCATGGACAACCAACAGTGTGTAGGTTGTCATTCCAACCAAAAACTGCCCCTCTGTTTGAAGGAGTGCTCATCAGTGAACACATCAGTAAAATCCCACTTTTTTTTTTTTTTTACTTTCTTTCTTTCTTTAACTTCACTTTATTATTGACTGTTGAAACAGAATACATACAGAGGATGGTTGGTTAGTGATTGCGTGTTGCTATTTTGAAGCAAGTTAAAGTCAGACAATGTATCTGCCCAGACCTCAGCTTTCCCACCCCATGTGCACCAAAACACAAACAAACCTCAGAGAGAGTGAGTAGATATGTGAGAAGAGAGGTAGCATAAATCTACAGCTGCAGCATTCATAAGCCTCGTTGAAGGTAAATCACTGAGTTGAGGAGAAACACAAGAGCTGAGGGTGATGTATACTTTAGTTAAGGAAGGAAGAGGATTCTGCTATTAGGTGGAATGTGGTAACTGTGAGAAAGGAGAGGAGGGGGAAGAGGCAGAGCGAGTGCAAGAGAGGCAGGCGGGGAGGGGGGGAGCTAGGTTGCTGACTCGGAGCTTTGCCGCGGTGAGCTTTGAGCTAGCGACTCTCTGAGCTCTCTGGCTGTGTGTGTCTGTAGGCTGCTGTGGTGCAGACCGTAGCCTAGCCACGTTAGCCTCCTTCCACCACTTCCACAGTTCAGTCAGCCGGCGGCTCCGGTGTGCTTCAGCTGCAGTTAGGCACTACAGTCTGTAAGTGTCTCTGCCTGTAGCTGAGGATTTCCTTCCGCTGCCAGGATTCTCTCCTTTTGGCCAAGGCAGAGAGAGAGAAAGAGAGGGACAGAGAGTAAGAGGAGAAGAAGAGGAAGACAGGAGGGGGAAGAGCGACAGCGGGCCGGCAGTGACCTTCGCGGTATTGTGGCAAAGCAGAGGAGGAGGAACGGCCATAGGATCCATCAGGTGTGTGTCAGCACTTAAAGGGTTGAGTAAGAGAGAGTGTGCTGTGGGCTTGAATTTGTATTCAGAGGCTGGGCATGGTACAGTTGGAAGCATGCGTTACATATGAAGTACAGAAATGTGTCAGAGGGAGAGATCTTTACACTTAAATGCATTGCAACAACATGTCATTTCATACTGTAATTCAGTGCTTGTGTTCAAGTTAAGAAAGAAGTACAGGGCTGAGGGAGAAGAGTTGTAAGAAAAGAAGATAAGTATTAAGAGAGATATTCTTCTATGACATGTTGTAGATGGATATATCCTCAAAGAAGCCAGATATATAGATGCTGATATGAAGAGAGAGAGGACGTATAAATGGAGAACAACAGAGATGGATGGAGCAGAGAGAGAGCGGGAGATGTATGTTGTGCCAGCCAGAGCTCAGCAAGGATGACAGACGTGTTTGTGTGTGTGTTTTCTTACTGGCTTGGACTTGGCTAGCGAGAAAAACGTCTGTATCAGAGTATCAATCACTGTGGGCTGGGCGCTGCCTCAAGTCTGCAGGCTAGAGAAGTGTGCTCTCACAGCTCTCTGGGAGCATCTGTATCTTTAATATGTAATTTGTCCTTCTGTGGGATTTAATCATAGTATTAGTACATTATGCTTTTTTATTGGCACTGATGGCTGGTGTCCTCATTATAAAAGGAACAGTCGTGATAGAGGGAGCTGGCCCTCATGTAAGGGGCAAGTTGTAGTATGTAGTTGTGTGATGTACTGTACATCTACACCTGTATGGAGCAAGTAAGGTTACTGTCCCTCAGCCAGAAGGCCAGGGCAAAACAAGAAGCAAATTTTTTGTGTGGTGCGATTACATACAAAGTCAATGCAAAGACCCAAATAGTCACAAACACGTTTGTGCAAGTAGAAAATGTAACTTCTTAAAAACATAAAACTTAAAATGTTGCTAAAGCGAGTGTCGTAAAAGCATATTAGTGCTGAGATTCTCTTGATATCAGTGTGAATCAGAAATGGAGGACAAACTTATTGTTGCAGTTCTACGATTCAACGTGTTTACTGTACAGAAACAACCAAAAAGGAGAGGGCTTGGAGAAAGGTGAGCGAAACCATAGAACTACATGGTAGTTTTGAAAATATGTATGTTTTACTTTATTCGGTTGTACTTGACTAGGGCGAATATTTGAGGATTGCAAAATACACAAGCAGCCACATTCAGGCGAGTAACGCGCGGTAAAACTTAACTTTGTGTTTGGTCTGAAGACACCATTATGTGAGACATTATTTGCTCTGCTGAAGTGGCCTTCAGGAAGAGGAATCTAATTTACAGCTCCTTGGTGCTAAACCTTCGTGCTGTCAATTTTGTTCTTTAAGTCAATAGATTTAATGTGCTTTGCTCAAGGGTACCTCAGCAAAATGACTGCTCAGTAGGTGTTGGGAAATCTAATTTCAAGGCCACTTACAGTTTTGCAAATTTTCACAATTTTCAGACATTCAGTAATCTGTAATCTTAAATGCTGGAATGTGTATACTACTGACAGCTAGGTTGGAGAGCTGGGGGATGTGGGAGGATGAATGGACACGAAAATGGGAAAAGCAATTAAAATGTCTAAAGACGAAACCTGCCAGTCATTACATTGGTTCCGAGCCAATCAAGAGCTTCAGTGAATGTTCGTGTGTTCACATGTTTATGCACATTCGTTTGCACGACAGAGAGTTGGTGTGAGAGGCGTAGAGGGAATATACTGTGTGTGCGTGTGTCTGAGCGAACTCAGGGTTTGATCTGCATGCCTTGAGGATGGTCTATCTTCCTGTATCTGTCTATCTTTATCCTTTGGTTTCCCTTTCTCCATCACATCACATCTTTCTGAGGTAACAACTAGACATTGACCTACTGAGAATTAAGCTTGACTCAGGCTAATCCATTCTGGACCCTGCATGACTCAGCAGCAGGGGCACACACACATATACACACACAGTTGCTCGCTATTGGTAGTCTTGGTTGTTAAAATTCTGGTCTTGCTTCTGTATTGCTACAGTGCAGAATATTGACTTTGAATATTGGCACTGATATAGAGTGGATATGAGCGATAATATTACTTTGTTTGAAAATAACAGAGGACTACTGTATCATACGGGCAGTTGTAATATCACACTGTTTACTGTACTGTATTTTCTGCATACAAGTGTGTCTGAATGTGTATACAGGTGCTGTGCAGCGCTCATAACTTTTTGCCCTCCATACAGCAGAACATCATCTGTTAAACCAAGAGGGGGAAAATCCAATTACATTCTCCTTACACTGTCTGCCAACAATGAGACAGGCTTTTTATATCTTTGATTTTACAAATCTATTCCAATCATCAAATGGACCAAATGTACCTAAACTGGTATGCCTTTACTGTATTCATTTGGCATGCAGCATGTTTGAGAAAGTTATGTGTGCATAAATGTGTGAGTGTATGTGTGTGTGTGTTATCCATGTGGAGGTAACAGCTTTCCCTTGATAGATCCTGACAGAGAATTCCATTATCTATGTAGGTGTTTGCTATATAGCCTCTGTGGATGGAGTTTGGTTTGAAGCACTGTATAGGGATGTGTGTGTGTGTGTGTGTGTGTGTGTGTGTGTGTGTGTGTGTGTGTGTGTGTGTGTGTGTGTGTGTGTGTGTGTGTGTGTGTGTGTGTGTGTGTGTGTGTGTGTGTGTGTGTGTGTGTGTGTGTGTGTGTGTGTGTGTTTGAATGCACGTGAATGAGCAATATAAATGCACATATTTCTTTTACGTGGTGCATTTGTGTGTGTATAAGTGCAGGCTATATAAATGCACATATTTATTGTATATCTGCAATATGTACCTTGTCCTTTTGTGTCCTTTCTGCGTTAAGAACCCGTGGACATGCTAAATGATGGACGGAGGGAATGAAAGGAGGAGAGCATCCTCTTCCTCTCATCCCTCTCTCTGGTGCTGCTTGGTGCTATCATGGCTGTAATGAAGGCTCATTTATCTCCATCTCAGCACAATCTCATCAGTCACAATGAGATTGCAGTAGCTCTGGAATGAGGATGAGTGTGTGTATAATGTGTATTGTTTAGGGTACGGTCATGTATGTGTGTGTATGTGAATGGATGTTTGAATGCAGTCAGTGATGCACTGACCTGTTGATGTACCTGTTGAGTAGGGTAGAATGAGAGAAAATGGGTCACATTTGATACAAAAGGGCCATGTTTTGGTGTTTGGTCAGCATTGTGAGGGCAAACTGTCAGCGCAGAATTTGATCAATGAACATAGATTACATTCAGAGGTCAGATTAAGTAAGCATCCACCTCCTCACCCTGGAGCTGAGAGGGAATGAAGGGAAGAGGAGAGGGCAGATTGGGAGACAGACACACAGAGAAACAGAGGGACTTGTGTAGAGAGATAAAGACTGAGTAATGTCATCATAGGCCCCATGTCCTCCAGGTCTGATTAAGAGCCTCTCTGAGCACTCCCAGACGCTGCGCTGTGATAGGCCAAGGTCATGGCGAATCACGGTGCAGCGCTGCAGATTGATGCTTAACTCCGTCAGGAAACGACGGAATCTAATTTGGCCAATGGGCTTCCTCTCCACTTCAGATGAAGAGGGCGATTCCCCTCGCTCTGGGGTCCCTTCGAGGAAGTGTGTGTGTGTGTGTGTGCGCGCGCGTGTGTGTGTGTGTGTGTGTGTTGGCTTGTAGCCTGATCGGATAAGTGTGTGCAGATGAACTCTGCATGTGTTCTCACCGTGTGTGAATATGAGTGCATATCTGTGTGGTTGTGTTGATATCTCAGTGTACTTTTTGTCTGTGTGCATGCCTCTCTCTCATTCAGTTTGTGTGGCAGCACCAGACTTGTCAGTACGTGGTTATGGAATGCGTTGTAAGTGATTGGCAGGCTATGATATTAGTTTGGGAATAATAAGAGTGTAATAACTCCGTGGCGTTTGCCTCCAGAGAGTGACTCCCAGGTAATCACATTTACTCAACACAATCACTGTCTTGCACGCCAGTGCCCGGGACAAGACCACGCTCTTTTTCATTTCCTCTTATGAATGTCATGAGCTCTGGTATGTGTGAAGTGTTGTTTGCGTGTGCATGTGTGTGATGCTGTTGATGCTTTCTCACGGCTTGGTTATGAGTACAGACTGCTTGTGTTTGTATTTTACTCTATAAATGTCCACAGGTACTGTAGGTAGTGGCTGGCTAATGTCAGAAATGTGTTAGAAAAAGGCTAGAAGTACTAGTCTGTTTGGACTCACTGTCAGATGATGCTACTTTTACCCTAAATTATCCAAATATCTGTATCCACATCATTAGTTTGTGTCCTCCACTATTTATTTCCCTTATTTAATGAAATTGTTATTAATTACCGTGTATTCTTAACACCTTCTCACTCCTAACTCAAAACAAATACTGCAGCTTGGTCAGTGGCCCTCCACTTCAAAATATGCCACTGTGGATATTCCATTAACATCATTTCTAGACACATGGGTCTCCCTGGTCAAGTTAGCTGTAATAAATATCCAACGTCTGGTTACACGTTCAAAATAAACCTTGTATGGTTAATGTTGTCCAATGGTCGCAGTTTTGTTAAGATTAGCCACAAAAACTACTTGGTTAGTATTAAATGTAACGTACCTGATGTAAGTTACGTACAGTACTTCAAGAAATTGTTTTTTGTTTTACATGGGACACAAACGTATGGGACACCTAGGTTAAAGTCCTGTATTTGTTTTAGCCATCCATCCACCCCACCACCCTTATATTTATATGCTCTTTATACTATGTCACCTTTGACAGCGAGTGCATCCAGAAATGACACTAAGGGAGGTATTCCCTGTAACATCATAATTTGAAGCTGAGGGCCACTGACCAAGAATTCAACTCAATGTGTATATGTGTTTGTGTGCATGTGTGGATTGCTGTTTTTGAAAGACTGAGGTACTGTTAAGGTAAAACTCAACCTTCACAGGTCTGTCTGTGCAACAGAAAAGTT